ATCTGCCATATTGCACTGAACAGTAACATTTAGCTAAGCGTCGCTATGATCACGCGGATCGCACTTGACGAATCTGTCGCCTTATCTCTCAAAAAACTGTATCCGACATCGGATTTTTCATCGGATCGACGCAGTACGATCTGAAAATGTCAAAATTCACCACCGGATCGCGAATTAACGGAACGCAGTGCGCAGTGATAACCGTATACGTTTTTTCTCGTGTTGAAAATTGAGACAGCTCGACGAATTAGTCGCAGATATTAATTTCTGATTATCAGTACATGCATAAACTACCTGGCGATGATCCTTGCACACGTATCCTAGCATTCCTGGATGTATTTAGAGCAGAATATCCAAAATATCCTAGAACGGCTAGGTTAGAACGGCAGCTCCTTGGTCGATGCTCCACGGAGCACAACAGCTCCGGATCGCCGGATACTCCGACGCATCACACAAAGCACAGCTCGTAATCCACACGTATACAAAACACACTGCATCACACTGTATTCCATTACTGTATTCCTTCACTGTATTCCGTCACTGTATTCCTTCACTGCATTCCATCACTGTGTATTCCTTCACTGCATTCCATCACTGTATTCCATTCCGTGTATATATCCATCCGTACACACTGTATTCACACGCGAGATACTCTTTTAAACGATACCAATAGCGATCAGAGATACAGAGATACACTAGGATGCATGCGACCACATCGTCCCGGCATGCTTCTATCAGCTTCTATTGCTTCTAGAACTAACGACTGCTAACGACACTAACGTTTTGGGCGCGCAAATCGCGCAATGGCGATCTTGAGAAATTTCAAATTGAAGGAACTCAAGGAACCAATCACATCGCGACGATCGAGCGTCGTCTCGTATCTGCACTTTACTATATTTAATATGACGCACATGTATCAAATGTATGTATGTATGTATACTTATTACTCGTTGGAGGAAAAAAGTAGAGAAAACAAACGTGACGAATGCAATTAGATATTAATCAGAAAAATGCTACTTTAATAAATAAAATTAAAAAATGTTTCAATAAACATAAAAAATAGATAATTGAAGAGTGTCAATGTTATCGACTTTTGAATAAATAAATATAAATTTATGATCATTGTTAACAAAAATATATTCGATATTGTTAATAAAACAAAAAGATTTACAATAATAAATTTGTGTTGCTCAAAATTTCAAAAATAATGAAATAAATATGTATATGTGTAGACGAGAGACTATATACACTCTACAGAAAGATCGAGAGAGCTGACTTTGCCATACGAAAAGACTTACTGATGATAGCAATAGATGGCACGCATAACGCGCGCTACTAGCGCTAGTTACTCTAGTTACATTGAATAAATTTACATAGAATGTTTTGCGCTCGTCAGCGCCAATCTGCTATCCGCGTGAATGTGAATCTCAAATTTTTATACAGTGGTGCAGTGAACGTTCGACGTTTGAAAATTAATTTAAATTCTTCGCGACGATCAGCGCGATACTTGAGAAAGCGTTCGCTCTCGTCGAAGAATGTCCGGTGATGTGCAACCAAGAAAACGGAAGGAAAAACGACGTAAGAAAGGTAAAAATGAGCGCGATTAATATATATATCACACTTTCGTAATACACATACGTACGACTCCTACGTACGATTGCACGATATTTTTAGCGATACGTTAAATTTGTTTCCTTTAATTATTTTTATTTCCACGAAATATATCCTCCTAGCTATCACTATTGCTTCGATGTAACACGTACGCTTATTATTATAATTTCTCTCGTTTCCTTCGTTTAAAAATATCGATCAGCTGAGTATACGTGAGAGAGTTTCGAATCATCATTTTCTCTTTTGTACATTAATTCTTACTAAAAAATTTACGTCTTGCGCTTTGCGCGCATCGCTACGTGATTTCGTGATTGTGATTTCACGCCTGCGAATTCGACGATTGTCATATTTGCGCATATTTGCAGATATATATATATCGTTAGAATGAGATGGCGCGATGGCCTCGCGCGCGAGCAGAGGCCCTAATATGATATTACGGATGCATAATGCAGTTTTATTCTTATACGATCCTCTGTCAAGTTCTAAAAATATCCGTTTTACCGCAGCTTAAATTGTTAGCCACTATAGCAGCCAACTGAGAGCCACTGACTCTCCGCGATCATGTGCGCGCGCGGCATATATGTATATATAATTATATTTCAGTTTTTATTCGTTTTACATTCATCTTTCGAACATATATATTATACAGCCTAGCTGTCGCTATGTATATTTTTGGCAACTGATGCTACTCTTAAATTTAATCAACTTTTACATAAAAACAATTCATGTACGATCGACACAGCTGTATATATGTACATATATATATATATATATATATATATATATATATAATTAATTAACGTACGTACAATGAATTATCTTGAGCGATTGCTACCGCGTCACAAAAAAGTCGATTACTGTTCCATGTAATTTTCGTAAATTACTGCATCTTAAGAAAATTATCTTGCATTTGGAATATAACTGCAGGATACAACTTAAAAATGCAATTTTGTACCGTACGTTTTATTCCGAATAACAATCAATTTCTTTTAGATCGGAACATATAATGTTAATTAATGATAATTACATTAATGAACACTATTGTAATTGACATGAGAGCTAAATTAGATCGATATTGGTTTAATTTTCGGTAGATGCGTGTAAAGTCTCGATTAGCCTAAGAAAATTTGGCAAAGCCATTCGAATTAGAAAATGTGTAGCTTCCGAGCCAACTTATAGCCTTTAGCTTTCAAAAATAGATTAAACTGTATTATCCAATCCAAAAGCGTTTCTTGTTCAACTATCTTTGAATTCTGCCCCACTTTTATATATATATTATACGCATTGCATATATATATCTTTCTTAATCTTTATATGACCATATCATATATACATGACGATATCATATATATATGCTTTTTATGTTCTCATTAAGAGGATTAATTACTAATTGAAATATTTGCAACTCATTTATTCAATATATCCGTAATGTTTAATTATATTGCATTTTTAATTATTTCTGTATCTACTTTAAATTTAACTTAATTACTACTGAAAGAGAGAGAGAGAGAGAGAGAGAGAGAGAGAGAGAGAGAATACGTAAATTTTAAATTTGGATGCTACATTTTTAGTATCATTTATTTTCCTTGTTTTTTAAAACAGGAAATACGTACGCGATTCAATGGATATAATATAAAATGTTTCTTTCTCTCTCTCTCTCTCTCTCTCTCTCTCTCTCGCTTTTCCCCTTCCTCCCTTTTTCCCTCCCACCCTCTCTTCTTTTTCTCCTTCTCTTAACAAATTTTCAAAATATTTTTCTCTATTTTTATTTTTACTCTTAATTTTCTTCTCGTATTCTCTGTGATTTATTTATCCGTTAAATTCATGTATACTTACAAAAATGTTGTTAATAATAATTTAAACGCTTTTCTAATTACATTTAGATGATGAAGATACTGGTACTCCACCACCTATTTTGATCAGTCCGACTGATCCTGCTGCCGAAAATGTCACTATTCACATTTATAAAGAGAATAGCACAGGCGGACATTGGTGTGCACGAATCATATTTTTTATTTTATTGGCTGTTCTTGCAGGAGTAATTGGTATAATTATCTTTGAACATAGAGGAACTACAGATGGTAAATAAAAGAATAAAATTTTTCGACACAGTGCAATAATTCAATATAAAAAAAAAATAAAAAAATAAAAATAAAATAAAAAAAAATTATATTAAAAACGTATCTTATGATATATATTTTATACTTTTTAAGTCGATACGCCGATAGCATCATCACGTTGGGCAAGTATATTTGAAGGCTGGGTAGATGATTCGCCATCTAATCATGGCGATGCATCGTATGAGCGGGAAGAAAAGCTGGAAATAAGCGAAGAAATGGAGGAGAAGAAAGAGGAGGAGGAAGAGGAGGAGGAGGAGGAGAAAGAAAAAGAAGGTAAGAAAGTGACAAGAAAAATCGAAAAAAAATTCACAAAACTTAAGAAGGAAGGTAATGGAATTATAGAACAAGATACGGAAGGAATTAGCGAAGAAGAAACAGAAGGAGAGGAGGAGGAGGAGGAGGAGGAGGAGGAGGAGGAGGAGGAGGAGGAGGAGGAGGAGGAGGAGCAAGAGATGGAGGAAAGAGAATGGCAAGGAGAAAAAGAGATAACAGAAAAAAATAACATAGCAGTTAAAGAAACAGATGGTACGTACGTGAATTGCAATATATTATAAAGAGTAGATTTTAAGCTACATTTAGTATCTTTTTTATTGAATTATTTTTTTTATTAAAATAATATCTTTAGGGGATCAAAACAAACGGGAACAAAAGGAAGACAAAGATATTAATGAAGAAGTTGATGAAGAAGGAAATGATAATGACGATGCGCTACAAGAGTTTGATACTATTGATATATTGGAAGAAGTTGATGAGACAAATGAGAATGAAGATGCAGATGATGAAAATAATATAACGGATGATGCTGATATGGAACTTGATGAATTTAGTACAGAGATAGCTGACAATTCTGCAGAAGAAAAGAATAATGATGTATCTGAGGGATTTCCAGGTATACCGGGTGTTAATGAAATCGACGATAACAGTGCTGAACCTCTAGAAGAGGTATACATCGTTATCTCTATTATTTTTGTATGTCGTTCTATTTGTTTATTAGTCATTATTTCTCTGAGATTAACTCTTTTTCTAAATTGATAATTTTATTCATATTAAGCCATATTTTTTTTACTGTTAATACTTTTTTCAGATAGAAGGTGAAGCAGTCGAAGAAGAAAATTTAAATGATGCGGATAATGAACTCGAAGAGGAAGAAGTTGAAGAAGAACCTACTAGTGGTGAGTAATATAGTTTGCAACAAAATACATATTAATATATATATTATTCTTTGGTTAATTACATAATTAAAGATAGACATATGTGATCCTCCATGCTCTTATCTCGTTTAATTTTAAATAATACATATAATAATTCCCAAAAGGAAATAATATGTGTAGCTATCTCACACACACACACACACACGCACACAGCACTGTAATATATGATTAAAATATGAAAACATATATGTCTTGTATTAACATGGTATTTTTTTATAATAAAAAAGCAATCAGAAATAATATATGGTGGTTGCAGTGGCTGTGAAGTTCGGAGTCGGTGTTGCACTTGTTATTGCTGCGCATTTTGTTCTTGTTAGACGATGGAATAATGGGAAATTTTTCATTACACACTATCTCATGCAGCTCATTTCTTATACATATAGTTGTAGATATAGGGAATACGTTAAGAAAAGAAGAAATTACTTATACGTATTAGATATGTATGTGACTCAGTTAAAATAATTACAATATTATTATAATTAAAAAGATGAAATTGAAATTTTACAGGTAAGTATATTCGTTTATGTAGACATAAATATAAACGATTCTTTTTTTACTATAATTCAATTGAGGTATTGAGTCGACGAGTATGTTTGAAAAAATTTATATAAATTTAGAATCACTTAACAATTATTATTTCTTTTACGTATTAATAACATGCAATATTGAGTGATTCAATTTTTTAGTTGATATTGGTACTTTCCGTTCTCTGCATGATATAACCAACGTATCTGCAGATTTATCAAGACGTGATACAATAATTTCACCTCCTCATCTCAAACAAGTAATTAAATCAATTGAGAGAGTTGAAAATAAAACACCTCTGCAAGTACAAGTAAAAAATTATGAAGATTTAAGATTGAAATATAATGAGTTGCAAGAAAATATTTCTTTAACTGACTTAACGAAATCTGCATTGTCACAAGATGAAGCACAAGTAAAAGAAAAACGGTCAACTCGAAACACAACTAAAGAAGGTACGGATGTTCATATCGTATTATTTTCCGTCTAATGTCCGTCTTGTATCTTTTGTTTATCAATTATATAACAAATTTATTTATTTATATTCTGAACTGCAGAAATGAATGTTAGACATGGCCAATCTAAGATATCATCTGAGGAAGGAGAAGAGGAAGAAGATTACGAATTAGAAACATCAGAAGGTGAACGTGTTTCTGAAATAGAAGAGTACGATGAAGATCAAGTGAAAGATAAAGAAGAACAAGAAGACGAAGAGGAAGAAAACGACGAGGAAATCGAAAATGTTGACGATTCTGAATTAATAGCTAAACTCGACGCAAAATATGGAAAATTACCTACCCCACAAGATAGTGAAGTTGAAGAAGAGGAAGAAGAGGAAGAGCAGGAGGAAGAGGAAGAGGAGGAAGAAGAAGAGGAAGAAGAGGAAGAGGAGGTGATGGAAGAGGAACATAATAAAATGCCAAAATGGAAACGTAAATAAATTATTAATTTGAATATTTTTTTTATTTCAATAATTAATATAGTATTATTTTTTGTTAAATATATAAGAGAAATTTGTATATATATTATAATTCTATAAAATACTTTCTTCCCATCATTATTAGATTTTAAGCATTATCATTTCCCAGTTATAAATAATTTAAATTTTACATGTGAGAAATAATTAAAATGAGCATGGAGGATCTTTGTTTTTTTTTTAAATTAGAGTAATATCCTTCTTAATTGAATTCACTAAAAAAATTTAAAATATATAGAAAATTAAAAATTTTTTAAATATATGTAATAAATACAATAGCCTTCCATTTTTGCGAAATTATTAATTTTCATAAACAGGTGTTAAAGAGTTAAAAGGCTCACATATGGAACTTCAAGCGAGAAGATCCATTCAACAGACAGAGAGGGAGATTAAGCATGTGGATAGTAGACAACCTAAAAGAGAAGAAAAAGTTTATAACTTCAGTAAGAATACATCAAACATAGATGATATAATCACGTACAAAGAAAACAATTCTACAGAATCCCAGGTTGGCAAAGAATTTTACGATTAGAGTATATATGTTCCTGTAAAATAACTTTTGGAAACATATCTGTTCTTTTCTTCTTCGAGCTAAAACATTACTATTTCCTCGACGTTTATGTTTGTATCATAAATATGAGATGTATAATTCGCAGTTTTTAAATATTACAATATGATAATCGCATCAATATCATATATATAGAAAAATTATAATCTTTATTCTCTCTCTCTCTCTCTCTCTCTCTCTCTCTCTCTCTCTCTCTCTCTTATTTATTATGTTTAAGTTCAGAAGGCCACTTACTTTATTTTAATCATGTGATCAAATAGATATTCTGAATTGTAAAATAGAATTTAAAAATATTAAAATAAATGTATTTGTATTTATTGCATTTTTAAAATAAAGAAAGACCAAGTAAGTGAAACCATAAGATTAAAACAAAAAATTCTACTTTTACTTTCTATACTAGAAGTATTCATTTCATTCTTATCCATGGACTTTCTATTAAAGAGTGATGACTTGAAAATAATTTTCAGCATTATACACTCTTTCCTAAGTTGTTTAGCATAAAAAACACAAGTAGCCTAACCGATGACACAATCATCTCCATAGCCAATTCTCACTACC